CCCTCGGGGTCCCCCCCGCTCCTGCCCCTGCCCCAAGCGAAGGAGCTTGCCGTGCCGCGGGCAGCCCCAGCTGGCAGCGCCTTGCGTGCTATACATCAGGGAGAAGCGGGACCAGCAAAGCCCCAGACAGCACTAAGGGGGGGGGCTTAGCCCCATGCCCACAGGCACTGCCAGCCCTTGCTGGACCCCCTCCCTAGGGCGTCCCGCTCTTGGTGCTGCAGGGAGAGCTCAGCCACTGCCTGCCTACCCAGGGCGCCTGGCAGAGCCCTGGTGCTGCCTCATCTGCATGATGGTGCCATGCGTTGGCCCCAGCCCTGCTCCATGCGCTGCCTGTTGCTGCTCCCCAGCCCTGGCCAGATGCCCTGACCCACCTGGCAGCAGCATCCTTGCCAGCAGCATCCTCCAGCACTGCCCTCGACACTGGGCACTTGCTTCCTCTCCCTGCCCAACTTGGTGCCATCCCCAGCCAGATCCAGAAAGCTCCCCAGCCCCGAGCCCTGTGCCCAGGGCAGGGAGATACAGTGCTGGGCAGGCTCCTTCCCTTGTGCCGCACGCCCCAGCTTTGTGCATGGCCCAGCGTAGCAGGGGCTGAGCTGTGGCATGGGTGAGCCAGGCTCCCTGCCCAGTCCTGGCAGAGCCTGCCTGCACCTGGGCTGCTGGCAGCCCCCTGCCCGCTCTGCCCCGTGACCTGCCCCAACACAAGAAAGGTGCCCGGTGGAGCAGCTCCACCAGGACCCTTCCCCTCTTGCTGCTGAGCCCTCCCCTGCCCGCACGTCCTGCATGCGTCTACCACCAGCACCCCAATTTTCAGCCTGGCCTGCAGTGGGGAATCTGGGAGGCACCTGGGCCCAGCTGCAAGGTGTGGAAGTTCATGGGCCTGGGTCAAATGGGGGGGAATAGGAGGGTCCCTGTGACATCCAGTGCCCTGAGGAGATGAGTCCCTGCTTGGGTGCAGGGCTCAATGGAGCCGGCGTTGCTCTCCCAGGGTCCTGGAGGGAGGACCCTGCCCCATGGGACTCCCTTTGGCTTGGTCACGGTGTGTGTGCGGGGTGGCCCTGGCCCCACTTTTCCCACTAGGGCCCCCCTGCATGGAGACCTTCCTCAATAAACCCCATGCTTCATCCCCTGCCGCCTGCCCCGAGTCCTCCTGCATCAGAGGGGGGAGCAGGGCAATGGTGGGAGGCATGGAGCGGGCTGGGCTGGGCATCCCCCAGCACACCGGGGTGCATGGAGCCCCACAAGGAAGGTGAGCATGGGGGAAATAAGGGGGAGGGATGGGGCAAGTCCCTGGAGAGACGGGGACAGACCTGTCGCCCCGGTGACAGGGACCCACAAGGAAAACCATGCAGAAAAGGGTTTATTCAGTTGGCACCGGGTGCAACCGGCACGGGGCTGGGGG